TCCCGCCCGCGCCCTCCCGGCCTCAGGGCTCACACTGCTCCTTGCCCGCAGCCGTCGAAGAGCCCCAGAAGGACCAGGCGTGCACCAGCGCCGGCTGTGTGATAGCAGGTAAGCCCCTTCCCCCACGCCTCCTGCCCCGGCCCGCGGGGGGCGGGGGCTGCCGGCGATGCTGGCACAGGCCCTGCTCAGGCCAGGGAGGCAGCCTGGAGACTGGCACTGGGCCGAGGGTACACACGGGCCCAGCGATGGGACTCCGTGTTGGGCAGAGGAAGCTGGTTCTGCTCCCCCTTCTCACCTCCCCGGGCCCCGTCCCGGCAGCGCCCCCCCTCCCGCTCAGGCCCCTGGCCTCACGGGACTCGAGGGGCAATTCTTTGCATTTACGGAAAGAAAAGCCACACGAACGTACACCCTCAATCACGTTTTCTCCCAGCAATTGGTCTTAAAACTGGGGTCAGGTGCTGCTAGTTGCAGATAAACACCAGTGAAAACGGTGTGAGGAATCACTAGTGGAATCGCTGGGGTCGGGAGGGCTCCAGCTGCTGCTCCCCTCGGGGCCCAACCAACGGCGGGTCCTGGCGGAGCCCAACCCAGCCACCTCTGCTGACGGGGCAGCCAGGAGCGGGGCCCCACTGACCCTGCACACGTGGGGTTCCGGGGGCAAAGCTATCTCCTCTCACAGAAAACAACACACACATACATGCACACACATACATGCACACGCATATACATGCGCGCACACACACACACACACACACACACACGGTGGTGGGTGAGGGCCGCCCCTCCTCGCATCCTGAGGACACCTGGCCGCCAGCCCAGCACCCTGTCAGCCTGCAGTCTGTCTGTCACCCCCTTGTCAGACGGCTGCCTTCCCAAAATTCAAGGTCAGGGAATGGAGGGATCAGAGAGGTCACGGGGGTTCAAGGTCATGTGGCTGATATGTGGTGGTTCTAGAAGTTGAGTCCCGTTTCCAACGTCGCCGAGGCTCAGAGAGGGCAACTAACGCTCCTAAGGGCAAACAGCTGAGTCTGGACAGCCCCCCAGGGGCTCACAATCGCGCCCCCCTTTCCTCTCCACCTCCTGGGGCCGAGCAGCCGCCAGGATCCTCCACAACATGGACGAGTCCAAGGACCCGTGTGACGACTTCTACCAGTACGCGTGCGGAGGCTGGCTGCGACGCCACGTGGTCCCCGAGACCAGCTCCCGCTACAGCGTCTTTGACATCCTGCGGGACGAGCTGGAGGTCATCCTCAAAAGTGAGCTGGCCGGCCTGCCCACGGTCAAAGCGGGGCCCCGGGACAGCCCTGAGCCCTCCGTCCAGTGGACGGGGAGAAGGGACCCCCCCGGGATAAAGGCCTGTCCCTGAATGTGGTAGAAGTGGGGGGACCTTTGACCTGGCCCCTCAGCAGCCGCCTCAGCCTCTGTCTGGCTTCCTCCTGGCCGCAGGGGTGCTGGAGAATTCCACCGCCAAGGACCGGCCGGCTGTGCAGAAGGCGAAGACGCTGTACCGCTCCTGCATGAACGAGAGTGAGCGGGGGGGGAATGGGGCAAGCGGGGGGGCTGCCCCTGCCGGGACCCACTTCAGCTCGGGGCCCCCCAGCCGCTGCAGTGTGCACGGTGGGGTGGGTGCCACTCGGGACGCAGGCCAGAAGGGCTGTGCGCTGGGCCCCCACCGGGCCACTGAGTCCAGGCTCCCCGTGGGGACCGGGCTTACGGCCAGCTGCCTGTGACCCCCTCACACCCCGACCCCAGCACAGGCCACACTCTGTTCAGACAAGAGGAAGACAGTGAGAGGCCTGGCTGGGAGCCCCAGGAAAAGCATGTGTGTGCATGTGTGTATGTGTATGTATATATATATATATATGTATATCTCTATATGTATATGTGTTTATGTATATGTACACGTGTATATGTGTATGTGTATATATGTGTATGTATATGTGTACTTGTGCATGTATATGCCTATTGTGTATGTGTGTGCATGTGTATATCTATATATGTATATGTGTGTGTTTGTGTATATGTGTGTGTTACATGTGTGTGCATACATGTTTATAGATATGTGTTTGTCTCTGCGTGTACACATGTCTATGTGTGTCTGTGTAGGTATATGTGTATACATACATGCATGCCTGTGTGTGTATATGCCTGTGTGTTTATATATGTGTACTCGTGTGTCTGTGTGTCTGTGTTGTGGGGGTGCTGTGGGATTTCCCAGTGCTTCCCTTTCTGTTAGAGGACTTACATACTCAGGACACCTAAGTCCCTGCTCGGGGGCTTGCAAACCCAGCCTGAAGGGCAGAGGCTCTGGGGGCCAGCTTCCCTGCTTGGTGCCCAGGTTCAAGGCCTGCGGTTGTTCAGGGGTCTCCTGGAGGGCAGGGCTGGTTTCTCATATACCTGACAGGCTCACGGAGACCCCGGCTGCATGGCTGTGCTTGCACAAGCCCAGGCTCATCTCCTTGCCTCCCCATGGCAACTGAAAAGCCATTCGTCCAGTCCGGCCAGTCCCCGCCCAGTGGAGACTTCCTGTCTTCCCACTTGCGCAGAACTTCTGGCCCAAGACCAAACATACAAAAGGACAATGGCCAGACCATATATAAAAACCCAACTTGGACCAGGAAGCCAGTCCATCGCCTCGGGGACCCAGCCCCGGCAACCACACACTGACCTGTACCAATGGGCCCCAGACACAGGGCTCCATCCCTCTCTTCAGCCCCCACTTTCAAACCAGGACCAGCCAGAGGAGCCAGGGGGCCCCTAACCCACCCCACGGACACCCTGCTGCATGGTGTCAGTGCCCCCAAGCTCCCCAGGCCCTTTCCCCCCACAGGGC